ACTATTTGTACTAATGATGATCAAGAGAAAAAGATAGAAAATATGGAGGAATTGAAGAAAGGACAAAAGAATAGCAATGAAGTTGTAGAACTTTCCGAAGATGAACAAAAAAATCAAATGGATCTTGGGATATGTGAGGCAGAGAGAAACAAAAGGCTAGAGAGTCTAATAGCTAGAAGAAAAGCAAGAAAACAAGTGAAGTTGCAACTTCAAAATGGTCTATTGCAAGATATGACATCAGTTATCCCAAGTCAAATTGCACCATTGTTTATTACAAGAGTTAACCCTTTTGATTCTCCAAGAGAGTTTGAAGGGATTGATGGCATAGAAATGCCTAGTTCTGCACCATCTGCTTTGAGAAGCCCATTTGATATTCCTTATGATCCTTTTGAGGAAAGACCTAATCTCACTGGAGATAATTTCATTCAAGATTTCACAAATCACCAAAAAGAAGCCAGGCAAGAAGACAGAGATGAAGCTAGAGAATACAAGTTGGCACATGAAGGTGATGATCACTTTCTTTTCTCTCCTCTTTGTTTTTTCATTCTCCCCTTTCTATGTTAATAGAAAATAAATAAAATTGAAAATTGTAGTAAAGTTGATGATGAAATTTAAAATATCTTGCTGTGTAGGTACAGAAAATGATGACAAGCTTGAAAATTTAATATCCAAAGAAGCTACAGAAAGTGAATCAGAAGCTCTTATTCCACCAAGTAAAGGAGAAGAATCAACACATGAAGAGGAAGGGAAGTGTGAAATTGATGTGACTAAAATCAAAGGTGAGGAAGTGGACGATTCTAAAGTTACAAAGTCAATGTTAGACTATGCAAGTAACAAAAACTTAATTTTAACAAATGATGAAGGAGTTGAAGTTTTAGAAAAGCTAAGACCAAGAATTCCTAAACCTCAAGACATGGTCCTCGATTTACCAATATCTAGTGCTAGTGCAACTAAAATAAATGACTCTTTATATGAATCTCTTTCATCTCCTGTTAATAAGAACCAAGACAATATGTGTATTGCTGGTCGCTCAATTTGTCATACACCATCGTGTTCCTTAGCTTCTGACTTACAAGTGGAGATTTCAGAAGTTGGTTCACCAACACTAACAGTTGATGATAGCCATGAGACCATTACAACCTCAGATAGAGAATCTATAATATATGATGGAGATATTGATAAAGATGTTACTTCTGGAAGTGAAGATATGTGGGGAGCCTCACTTCATTCAAGAGAAGTACATAGAATGAGTGAGCAAGATATTTTAGAAGTAACCAATTGGAGAGACATTGGTTCACCAATTTCCCTACAAAACATAGATGAAGAAAATGCAGCTGATGTTAGTTCTATGTCCTCAAGATCTGACATGCCTGATGATACTCCAACTTATGCAATGGGCAATGATCACAATATTTTTAGTAATATGAAAGATTTTGTGAGAGAAAATGGTTCACCCCAACCTTCCCATTCTTCAGTGGTGTTATCACGTTGGAAAAAATTGATGCAGTTAATGGATACTCATGTAAATCAATTACCTCGTGAAATGCATTCAAAGAAACCAAAGGTGAGTTCATTTTGATGTTGCTATATTTGTTAGTAATTGATAATAAAACATCTTATGTCTTTTTTATTCCAAACAATGAACATACATTATTAACTTTAAGGAAAAATGAACTTCCCTGAATTTATAATAGAACAAAACATTGCCTTTTGCACTTATCATTCCATTGGTTTGCTTACTTTACTTCCATGAAAAGTAATAAGTGGTGATATGTTTTTTCTTCACTTAAGATTTTTTGTTGTGCAATAGGAATTGCTCAACCTCTCAAAGAATTTAGGTAAGACACAACTTACGGATGATGTGAACAACTCAACAACTTCTAAGAAAGATAACACACATAGCTCAAGAAGTAATGAAGAAACTAGTGCAACAATTATGCAACAAGAAGCAATTGATGAAGTCTCAATCAACTCAAGTTCATCATCTTCACCAAGGTCTATGCTGCCAATATCGCAAAAGACTATAGCAGGCCAAGATATTCAACAATCTAACCTGGAGGATATGGAACAAGAAATGTCAAATGGTGAACGTCCTCTTAACTCCATGCCTCAAGATATTTATCCTTCAATGGATGGTCCAAATATTGAATCACATAACAATGACTTGAATCTTTGCAAGGTATAAATCGTGTAGAAAATATTTATTGATTTATTTATTTTGAAAGAATGTTAATCTATATCATTAACTTGAAAAGGAATGGTGAGATAGGGTAGTTTCATGCGTAAAGGTTTGTTATATTATCATCAAACCACAGAGGAAAGGTTTTAAATGATTGACTTACTTCATATCTTAATAATGTTTATATATTTGAGGCAGGCACACACAAAAATTAAACAAAATAATTACATTCTCATGTGAACATGTTTGTAACTTGGTTTTCTTTTTTCCGATGAACAAAGATAGAACCTTAACTAGAATTTTAATTGTGAAATTGACTAGGAGCAGACTTATCACTTGGAGAATTTCATTCAGGGACCAAATATGTCTAGCAAGATGAAATATGTGAAAGTTCGTTGTGAGGAAGATGAAAAGAAGATAAGGAATGATGACACTAGTGAAGAAAAATATACTCCTCTAACTATACAAGATGCTTCAGTAGAACCCCCAACAAAAGCAGAGATGGTGGCTTCAGAGAATATAACTGAGATATCAAGAGAATTATTTGATGACAGAGTAACATTTGAATCTTTAAACTTGATATATTTTAGTAGATTAAACAATATGCTTAATACATTTTGTTCTTGTAAAATTGAATAGGTGCCATTAATTTCTCTAATATTAGAATCAACCTCGGTACATAGAGAGAATGAAGAAAAATCACAAGCATCAGTGAACCAAGAGACATCCATAGAATTGTGTATCAATGGTCAAACAACAGACACTAGTTCTGATGAAGATTTTGAAGACAGACACAATAAGTTGGATGAGAATGAAGCCGCACTCTCATCATGTATACCATCAGTAGTGGAAAATGACACAGATAAGCCAAAGCAAAAGTTAGAACAAGTGAATTGCTCACAGAGTGATTCAAAACAAGGGGTTGAACATCACATGGAGAAGGAAAGGTTGGATAAAGGCGATATCTTTCAAGACTCTCCGCTACCAACTACCATTATAATAAACAATTCTAAAGATAAAAAAGGAGAATATGAGATGAACAAGAATGAAGTCACTGACCAAGAATTGAACAAGAGTGAAGTCATGGTTTTATCTGAATTTGCAAAAACAAGTGATCAAGCAAGCAACATAACACATGCAAAAGATCATGAAGAAATAGCTTCAATTTGAGGAAGTTGGTGCATTGAAGTAAGATAAACCAAATGACAATACAAAAGAAATAGGATGCTTGAGTCAACAAAATTGGTTGAATAGGCAAGTTGTGGTGATGGCAATTAGCACTAGCCGCGACCAAATGGTCACTAAACCAGCAATTCCTAGCAAAGAAGCAAATCAATGAGAACTTAGTAGAGAATTTGTGAAATGGTGCACTTCGGCAAATGTTAAGACCTACTATTCTTCGGTAGTACACACCTAAAATTGGTTTGACTGAAGAAAGTGAAGCTTCATTAGCTATTTTCCATCATCAAATGACAGATTGATCATAAGTTTAAACTTACAAAAAGACTAACATAGAGATACAAGTAGATTAATCAATATTTTGTGCATAGATGTTGTCCATAATTTTATAAATGTACAGACAAGTATGCTATTAATGATAATGCTTATACGATGTTATGCTCACAATGTAAAATATAAGACAAGAAGCAGGTCCCTTATATCATTGATAGTTATCTCAAACTCAAATTACCATCAATTGTTTTCTTTATTGACTCTCAGTATTCATCTTTTTATAATATTTTTTTTTTCTTGAAAGAGGATAAAAGTTTTTTTTTTTTTGTGTGTGTCTCTGTATATCATAAGTCAAAATAAGAAGAGATCCAACAATTAGTGATTGAGACAACTAATATTATATTATTTAAAATATTTAAATAAGAATTATTTCTTTAAATATTACTCATACTTACATACATGTATAGAAAGGTAAATATAATGTTATTTTATATCTTCAATATTATTTATGATTTAATTAACTTCAATTTTTTTAATAAAAAAATAGTAAGATATTTTCTTACCAGTTTTTCTTCGTGTCTTATATTGTTTAATGTACTGTAAGTGAATCTATGTTTACATTAAAATATTTCTTTTAACATAAATTGTTGACAGATTTATTTGAAAAAATTCTCTTTTTTACCTATGGGTTAAAAACTATATTTAAAATTAGCATATTTATTTATAAAATTAAACTTAATAACTTATTTAGTATTTAAGTTTCAAATACCGCAGAAACAAACCAAAAAAGTAATGAATATAGAATAGTTATTTTAGTCTTTGAAAGTAAAGAATAGAACATGTTTTTTTTTATAAAAAAAAAACAATTTTTTCTTTTTAAAAATAAAAAGTGTATTTTTTTAAAAAAAAAAATTCTTTCTGCAGATAAGATTAGGATAGGATCATTAGAAGCTGTAAAAGTCTTTTTTTTTAATATTTAAAATAACTGTATTTATTGAGATTTGAAATTGAGATTATATGTTAAATATGTTATAATTTTTTTTATTTTTTATAAATTTGTTTATTATCACTCTTGAGTATTTATTTTTATTCTTATTTAATGAATCTTTATCTAAAAATTATTTTTTATTTTACAATTATTTTAATAATAATAACATTTAGACAAAAAAAATATTTAAGTAAAAATAAGAATAGACCCGTAAAAATAACCACGTGCGGTCACTCTCTTTTACATGTCTAAAAGCATTTTAAAAAATGATGCGAAGAAAGCTTTGATTGATAAAGTTAAGAGTTAGTAAGGTTTGAGAGTCAACACTAACATCAGAGAGGAGAGAAGCAATCGCAGTTCAATTGTTACAACTTACACTACATGGATTGCGTTTACATGAATCCCAATGAACCCATTGAAACTCGTCTCAAACACCTTCTTTCTCTAATGACTTTGAAGGAAAAGATTGCTCAGATGACACAAATTGAGCGCTCAGTTGCCACCCCTTCTGCCATTAAACACTTCTCCATTGGTATATATAAATATACACGCACGCACATAGATAAATGTGTTTGTTTGTTTTTAGTTTCTATGTTAAGCAAAATTTTGTTTGAACTTGGTGGAATAATTGATGGAAGTTGGTCACCTTTCATTTTGAAATATTCTGCATGTATGTGATTTTGTTAATTATTTACATTCATTTTGGTAAGTACTAAGTAGTGTCTGTTTTTTTGGTTTGTACAAAGGGAGTATATTCAGTGCTCCAAACAGTGGACCCTTTGAGAAGGCTCTGTCATCTGATTGGGCTGATATGGTGGATGGGTTTCAGAAGTTGGCACTTGAATCACGGTTAGGCATACCAATCATTTATGGGACTGATGCTGTTCATGGAAATAATAGTGTCTATGGTGCTACAATATTTCCTCACAATGTTGGCCTTGGAGCAACAAGGTTGGTGTGGATTCTGTAGTTCTCTTCTTTTTTTTTATTATTATTATTTGGTGGGGGAGGGGGGGGGGAGGTTGTTAGCTTTGTGGTGATTTGACACTGCATCTTTCAGGATTTTTAGCTATTGAATGTTTGTTTCAAATTGATATTCTAATTAGTCTCTAAAAGATACATATTAGTTACTACTGATGTTTAGGTACCTTTTAGATTTTTGAGAAAGTAATTTGGTGACAATACTTTAATTTTTGGAAGACCAATCTGAGGTTTTCTTATAGAAGAGATTGGTGCTAGGAACCAAAATTTTTTAAATGTAACCGTTGGCCTGAAAATCGTTTAAAGTGATTTGATTATATACAGAGAAAACCTTTAGAGGCGCTAGTAAGAAGAGTAGATTGTGTGACTCAGTAAGGAAGGGTTGAGGAAAACCTAAAGAGACCTTAGATGAAGCTATTAAAATAGACCTTTCGATTAATTAGATTTCTAAAGATTTGTTTTTTTATCGAGATTAATAGTGTGGTGTGATCCATGTAGCTGAGTTAATAACCAGAATTGAAAGTTGGGTGGTCATGTGCATTTTTTCCCTTATGTGAAAATGTTATTTGAGGTTTTCCAGAGCAAGTCGCCTCCTGATTTGACCAGGCATTGCCTCTTAATCTCAAGTATATTGTGCTTGTACTCTTGACAAACAATTCTTCCTTTCATCTTTCAAGTAAACATGCTTTAAATTTTCACTCATGCTGTCCTTGTAGAGATGCAGATTTAGTTCAAAGAATTGGAGCTGCAACATCACTTGAGCTTAGAGCAAGTGGAATTCACTATACTTTTGCTCCTTGTGTGGCAGTAAGGCATCATAGTCAACTTCTGAATTGGTCATGCTGATATACTATAGTTGTGGCTTTGTTATGTTATGTGGCATTTCCCTTACTGTTCATACCTATTTCTAATTATGTTGTGGATAATTTCTAAATCTCACTTGAAAAGAAACAGCACAATTTTATTTTCTAAAGAAATAAAGAAACTCACATCAAATTTCTGTAGTAGATTTCTCATTTGATAGCTACCATGAAAGTTGTGGAGGCTATCTCATCTTGTAAACTGGAATACAAATACCTTCTATAAAGGTGTAACCACTCAATTATAAATATTTTTAAATACTTTTTCCATGACCTAGCTAATGTTCATGTTCTTATGAACTGATTTTCCATAAGGATCATTTGTGCAAGTAATATAACGTGACTATACAACATGCTCAATGTGTATTGAACAAAAACATATCATAATTGATTATTGGCTAAACTAAAAGTCATTTCATACAATTAATAGAATTCTGACATTAGTTGGCATGGACTTATTCTTTTTACTGCATCGTGTATTGGGAATTGGGAGCAGGACAGAGATAATACCACTAGAATGCTTGAATACTTAAGCACCAACATAGAAAAGTTATAGTAGGTGGCCGGCTTGTATTCATGTCTACAAGGAAGGGCCAAATCCATATCTAAACGGTTAATTCACTATGCTTTTTTTGATAGCTTAAGCTTATGACCCTCCTATAAGCTCTTTGCTTATTTTTATTAGTTTATTTCAACCAAGCTGGAAAGAGTTTATAGGGGAGTTATAGGACACTTTCATAAGCTTAACTAAACATCTTCAAAATGTACTTAGTACACTACAGCTGTATTCTTATTCTCAACTGTACTACACAGTTTCTTTACTTTTAAAAATAAGATATAAAGAATGAAAAAGGTATATAGTGATACTCACAACATGTTCACAAAAATTTTCTCTCTCTAATGTTCCTTCTTTCTACAAAAACATAGAAATGAGACTAATACTTCATAGCTTAAAATCTTCAACGATAATTAAGATATATATGTTGTCACCTTTTCCTTTATTTTGTGCTGCCTAAAGCTTTCTTCTTAACAAATGGATAAAATACAAATGTGAAACTCACTTGGATAGGTGAATGGACAGGTCTGCAAAGATCCCAGATGGGGAAGATGCTACGAGAGTTATAGTGGAAACACTGAGATAGTCAGAAAGATGACTTCTTTTGTTTTAGGCTTGCAGGGTCACCCTCCAGAAAGACACCCAAGGGGATACCCATTTGTGGCTGGGAGGTAGACTAAATCCAATTATGTAACTTCTATTGGATATAAAATTTATATTTCTTTAGAAATGTTAAATTGTGAAATATATACTGCTGTTTAATAACAATTTATAAGGAACTGTGTTTTACCTGCAATGCTAGCATCCTCAGTTCTCCTGTAAAATGTGATACTTGTGATTCCAATCCAAACTATTAGATTTGTTACATATTTTCAAGTTTGTGTGCTCATATATTGTTTTTTTCTGTTCATTGGGAAGATTAACAATAATTTTCAAAATTTGATGTTGTATATCTATCGAAACCATTTTCATAAATCTTTTTAGTATTTCAGGAACAATGTTATTGCATGTGCCAAGCATTTTGTTGGTGATGGAGGTACTGAGAAAGGTGTAAATGAGGGCAATACAATATTATCATTTGAAGACTTGGAGAGGATCCACATGGCCCCATATGTGGACTGCATAGCTCAGGGTGTTTCTACCATTATGGTCTCATATTCCAGCTGGAATGGAAACAAACTCCATGGTCACCAATTTCTGCTAAATGAAATTTTGAAGAAAAAACTAGGTTTCAAGGTAGACCTTTTTCTCTCTTTAAAATTTGTGTCTTCTAGTCAATGGATAAAATAATCAAATTGCTTTGTAAGTGATGTTTGTTTATTATTTTCCAGTATATTATGATTTATGAATCATTGTTGGATGATGATTGATGAGAATGTCAAACTTTGAAAAATATAGGTAAAAACTTTATGTTCTCATGCTAGAAATTTCTCGTATAAATAGTGTCGTACAATCTAATTTTCAGCCCTAGAAAATAGCTATCCTAATTAAGGGAATAAATGCATAATTACAATTGCACAAGCATGCCTATAAATACTGTCCTACAGCTGGGCTATCCTAATTAAGGAGATAATAATGTAATTACAACTGTACAAACATGCAAATTTGTTGACAAAATATTCTGTCAATAAATTCTATTGTTATCCTCCCTCAAATTGATGGTGGTAACAAGCATCAATTTGCTAACTTGAAAATTATGGCGCTAACATGTCAAGGATTTAGTGAAGATGTCAGCGATTTGAACAGATGTGGAGACATGAGGTAGAGTGATAACTTTGCAGTCATAGGTTTTTCAAATACAATGACAATCAACCTCTATGTGCTTCGTCTGTTCATGATAAACTGGATTTGCTACAATTTGTATGACACTTGTATTGTCTACATGTAGTGAAGTTGGTTGTGTTTGTAAGAAACCAAGCTCAAAAAGAACACCACACAACCAAATGATCTTAGAGTATGCTGCAGACATGGGGCGATATTCCGCTTCAGTGGATGACTTAGAGACAGAATCTTGTTTCTCGCATTTCCATGAGATTGTAGCATCATCTAGAAGCATACACCAGCTAATAGTAGATTTTTTTGTGTCTGGACAGCTAGCCCAATCAGCATCACTATAGACTTGTAGTTGTAGTAATGAACCAGAATAGTAGGATAAGCCCCAAGTGGAGGTGCCAAGAAGATATCAAATAATGCAATGTACTATTGAAAGATAAAAATGCCTAGGAAATTTAATGAATTTGCTTATTGTGTGGACAGCGAAAGAGATATCGGGTCGTGTGATAGTTAGGTAGATTAGACTACCAACTAGCTATCGGTATAAAGTTAAATCTTGTATGAGGTCACCTTCATCGCATCGGTATGGGAGTGTCAACTGAAAATGCGTTGGTGAGACTAGAGAACTGTATTAGTCTTGAATATATTCGTGCTGAGTTACAAAAAGGCCATTTTGTTGATAATGTACTTCTAAGCCCAAGAAGTAAGTGAGCTGACAAAGATCTTTCATGTAGAAAGTTAAATGCAACAATTTTTTGATTTTAATGATAGTCTCTTGACAGAACAAGTCAAGGAGTATCACAATTTCTTGAAAAGTCCTTTGTATAAAAAAGGAGGGATCAAATTGACTTTCTGTGAAGGAAAAACTAGGTGAAAATGTTTAAAATTTCTCAAACCATATTCTTGGAGCTTGTTTCAATTCATATAACGAACACTTCAGTTTGAAAACAACATTAGGTGATGGGATAGGCATACTTGTAGAAAGTTCGATATAAACTTCCTCCTTGAGTCCTTGATGTCATCATGGAGGAATGTGTTCTTGACATCCAATTGGTGTAGTTGTCAATATTCAAATTCAGCAACGGTGAGTATTAGGGAAAAGAATAAAGGTACTCTTTTATTCTTTATGTATTTATTAGTTTTGTTTAGTTTCTGTGCTTAGCTGTGCTTATGCCAGCTGTAGGTTAGTTATTTAAAGTTGTTTAACAGCTTGTAAGTTTGTTTTTTGTTAATTAGTTTCTGAAATAGAAATTAGTTTCATTCTGTTATAAATTCTGCTCATAATAGCTCTATATAAGTGAGGAGTCCTCACTATTGTAGTTTAAGTCTTTCATTTTGTTCAGATATCAATAATAGAAATTTCTCTTCATGCTTTCTCTGAGTTTTCAATCTTAGTCTCAAACCTTCAATTTCAATTTTATAATAGTGAGAATAGTACATACAATAGTCATCTTGGCAACAGGTGCAAAGGTCTCGTCATAGTCAAGGCCAAATTCTTACGTGCTACCAATATTCAAATTCAACAATGGTGAGAATAGTAACGATCTATAAATCCATTTGAACGAAGCTTTATAGTGAATACTTATGTGTTACCAATAGGTTTAACAGATGGGGGATATGGAACAATGTCTCATGTATGATTTTTTTTGTAGTTCTAGAAGTTTTGTTTCAATGGCTTGCTGCCAACATGCATGCTCCATTGCCTGTTTATAGGAAGAAGGAATGGGACAGATGCTAAAGTAACTGTGAAGGATGAAGCATACTCAGTTGAGAGTTTACGAATGCGAGAACTACATCATAAAGGTGCTGGTTCTGGCTAAAACACTAGATCAACAGGTAGAGAGTGATCTGGAGGGGGCCTTGGAGGTTTTGGTGGCTGATTTGGAGTGATAGCCTTACGTCTTTAATATACCAAGAGAGGTCCTCTAAAATTGTTAGAAAATAATGGCAAAATAGAGTTGGGCGATGAAGAGAGAGTGTCATGGTTAGTGGGAAAAAATATGCATTTTCTTGAAAGATTACACATCTAGAGAACCGAAGCCGACGTAGATGAGAATCAGAGCATAGTAAACCTTTTGGGTGGGCTGAATAACCTAAAAAAGCACATTTGACAAATGAGCTGTGAGTTTGGTGTGTTCTTGTGAAGGAAGATAGGCATAACAAACACAATCAAAGGTACATAAATTTGAAAATTGGGTGGGTGATCAAATAACCGTGCTAAAAGGTAATCATTGTTTAATGATGGGGAAGGTAGGCGATTAATAAGGTTGACAGCAGTAGAGAGAGCTTCACACTAAAACCCAGATGGGACAAAAGATTTCAATATAAGGGTACATACAACATCAAGAAGATGACGATTTTCCTTTCAACCACCCCATTTTGTTGGGGTGTGGAAGGACAAGACCTTTGGAACAGACTATCATTTGTTTGTAAGAATTTTTGGAATATATGAAATGTGTACTCCCCTCCATTGTTAGAGTGAAGAATTTTAATTTTTGAAAAAAATGAAGTTTGAACATAAACATGAAAAAATTTGAAGGCAGAGAAAATTTCATTTTTAGATTGCAAAAAATAAACCTATGTGAAACGACTTTAGCCGTTAATAAAAGTGACAAATTACTTGTAATGAACATGAGATATAATAGGTGTTGTTCCCCATAAATCGCTATAAATCATATCAAAAGGTTGACTTACATGTGATTGATAAATTGAAAATGGTTGAATTTTACTTTTACTAAGTTTACAATAATTGCAATAAAATTGAACCGCACTAAGGGGTGGAGACTCTTTATTACCAAGAGCACTAGATGACGGCAAGTCATGAAGTACAGTTGTGTTTTGGATGCCCAAGACGCTTATGTCAAATTTTGAAATTAATAGTAGCAGAATTACAAGAAACAAAAGGCAAGAAAGGACATGGAGAAATTGAGAAAGAAAAGGGGAAAAGATGTCTAACTTTAGGCCCTTTTGCAATCATCTTTCCTGATTGTTGATCTTGCATAAGACAATCAGATTTTGAAAATTCAACTTGGCAATCATTGTTAACTAGCTGACCCACAAAAATAAGGCTATTAGTAAGACTAGGTGAAACAAAGAAATCAATTAAAGAAGAAATATCACTAATTGCTGTGATAATTAAATGGTTGCCATCAACAATATGAATTTGGAAATTGCTAAAATATTTAGTGACATTTGTGAAAGTTTCAGCATTGTTGGTCATATGATTGGATGCCTCAGAGTCAAAATACCAAGAAGAGATAGAAGAAGTTTTACCTGAGAGACCTAAGGCAGAGCTGAAACTATCATTTGTTGAATCATTTTAGGGGTCAAAGTTTTAGTAAGTGTAGGAGCATGATGTTGCACATTTGCTATATTCATAGAACTAGGAGCAGTTGAAGAACCAACGGAGGTAGTAAAGGTTGTTGCAGCTTTCTTGGGTGGTCTGATTGGACATTCTTTAATGATATGACCATCATTTTTGTAGTAATTACAGAACTTTTTAGGAATGTGTGAAGCAAAATGTCCAAATCCTTTGCAACAAAAGCATTGAGTAATACTCATGTCTCATCCTCTAGGCTTGCCTTGTACAGAAACTAGAAAAGAGGCAGATTTGTTTTGTTCCATGGTTGTTTGAGTAAGAAGGTGTTGTCCTTCATGAAGAAGTTCATTGAGGCATGCATCCAAAGAAGGTACAATTCTATACATGAGATTGGACTGAATACTTTCAAAATTATATCTCAATTTCATAATAAATTGATCTTATTTAGTGGTTTCATGAACTGTTTGCTCGGAAGTAAGACTTCATCTGACAAATGTTCATAGACAATGTCAGTGTATTCGGCCCAAAGATTCATGAAATGAGAATAGAATTAAAAAATTTAGAGACTATCCTGCTGAAAAATTGCAATTTTATGTTCAAGTTGAAACCTTCTAGTCGTGTTATTCTAGATATATATTTTCTTTAAATAGGCCCACATCTTGGTTGCAGTGCTGAATCGTCTAAAATTGAGGACAATATTGGGATCAACAGAGCCTATGATCCATGTCATGACTTGAGCATTTTTGACTTTCCACTTGGCATATGCAGCCTTCTCTTTTTCTTTGACAAATATCTAGAACTAGAAGACTCAGGCCGAGTAGTTCTTGCCATGAAGGCAAACTAATAAGACATCATACTTGTTAGTAGAAATGAGGCTAAGTTTGAACAAAGAAGAAATTGCAAAAGGGACAATAAACAAGAGAGACGGAGTCTGAACCAAGACAGAAGTGAAAAAATACAAGTATAAGAATTTTGGGCGAGACTAGGCTAGGATCATAACCATGACTGATACCATGTCAAACTCTGAAAAATATAGGTCAAAATTGTGTGTTCTCCTGCTAGAGATTTCTCATATATTTAGTGTCGTACAATTTGATTTTCAGCCTTGAAAAATAGCTATCCTAATTAAGAGAATAGATACATAATTACAGTTTTACAATCATGCCTATAAATGTTGTCCTACAGCTGGGCTATCCTAATTAAGGAGATAATAATATAATTACAGCTGTACAAACATGCAGATTTGCTGACCAAATATTATGTCAATAAATTCTATTGTCAGAGAATACATGTTAAAATCATTTACACATTTTTTTATTCATTCAGAAAGAGAGGAGAGCTTTATATTTCTTAATTCAGGGTAAAGTGTAATAAGATACTACTGAACATGATTGAAGCTGTGTTGCGTTTTCATTGATTTGTAAATTCAAATAAAGCATTTTGTTTAGACATATCTCTACTGTAGGGATTTGTGATTTCTGACTGGGAGGGAATTGATGAATTATGCCAACCTTACGGGTCAGATTATCGTTATTGCATCTCCACTGCCATTAATGCCGGGATTGACATGGTATAGATCTTCAATTCCCATAAAAAATTTACATAGATTGCTTGATTTCATTTACATATTCAATAAAATATGCAGGTGATGGTCCCTTTTAGATATGAAATATTTATGGAAGAGTTTATGTCTCTAGCTCAATCAGGGGAAATACCAATAGCCAGAATTGATGATGCTGTAGAGCGGATTTTGAGAGTGAAGTTTGCTGCCAAACTTTTTGAGTTTCCTTTAACTGACAGATCGTTACTAGATATAGTTGGCTGCAAGGTAAGCAAAATTCAGCTCACTGAGAATTTCTATTTCAAGTGCTTAGGCTGCATTCACATTATCTTATTTGGATATTTTAACATGAATCCAAGTCTGACCAAGATGAATTAGTTTCACCATAATAATATGTATATAATAATCTGAAGAATATTTATAGGACCTTTAATAGGATTTATTTTTGTTGTATACAAATATACATTCTCTCTCTAGTTCCTTGTTGCTGAAGTTTGTTTTCATTTTTGAGGATTTCATAATGTTGATTTGATTACCTTCGCAAAATGGACGGACATCCTTGTTCCTAAGAAAATATAAATATGTATCTGGACTGTGCTGGCATAGTTCTCAGAATTAATAATGGAGAGACAGATAATGAGGGGACAAATACATAAGAGAGCAACAAAGAGAGGATAAAAATGTATCTAAGAGATATAGTACTAGAGAAGGGAATTCCTAAAGTGCCCTGAGAGCAATGGATAAGGAAATAATATAGAAACTATTTAGAAAAATGGGTGTCCAAGAAACATGCAATACTCTCTTTTTAAGCAATTAGGATGATTAATATAGTATTAAATGATTCTTAACCAGTGGTAGGTTTGCATCATTGAAGCAAATATACTTCAACTTAGACTGCTGTACTAGGAAAAAATATCCTATTGAATCACCATAGCTCGTTTGTGAATTACAAAAAAATTATTTGTTTGCCAAATGTTGATGGTTATATACCTCTTTATCATCTAGTTATATACATGCAATCATTTTAACTAATAGATTTTGTTTTACCGTCAAATTGTTTCAACAGCTACACAGAGATCTAGCACGTGAAGCAGTTCGAAAGTCATTGGTTCTGTTGAAAAATGGAAAGGTTCCTAGTAAACCTTTTCTTCCATTGAACAGAAATGCTAAGAGAATCCTTGTTGCTGGAACTCGTGCTGATGATATCGGGTATCAATGTGGAGGATGGACAGGTACTAAGTATGGATCTAGTGGTCGCATCACAATTGGTAAGCCATTTTTAGTCTTGTGCAACACTACATTCATTCACTAATCTTAATGCTGGTTTGGCAGAGTTCATATTTTGATTATCTTCTATTTCGGAATAGTATTAGTAGATATAAATTTTCTACCCCATTCCCTAGTCCCAAGTCTATTACTTTAAATTTTACCTTATTGGGTTGGATTGACGTGCTTGCTAGATTCCTTACATGAGTACAATTTCAGGCACAACTATCTTGGATGCTGTTAAAGAGGCTGTAGGGAATGAAACAGAAGTTATTTATGAGCAGTATCCATCAACAGACACCTTAGAATGTAACGAGGTTTCTTTCGCCATTGTTGCTGTTGGAGAAGGTCCCTATGCTGAGTGTGGAGGTGATAATTCAGAGCTCGTGATCCCCTTTAATGGAGCTGGAATTATAAACTTGGTTGCTGAAAAAATCCCAACACTAGTGATTCTGATATCTGGAAGACCTTTGTTCTTAGAGCAGTGTCTGTTGGAAAAGATAGATGCTCTTGTTGCTGCATGGTTGCCAGGTACTGAAGGACATGGAATCACAGATGTTATATTCGGGGATCATGACTTCAAGGGTCAACTACCAATGACTTGGTTCAGAAGAGTTGAAGAACTTGATCAACCAGTTGATTCATGTGACCCCTTATTCCCTCTTGGTTTTGGGCTAGCATATAACAAGGAGAATTCACATGACTAATGTTTTGGATAAACGTTTAGAGAAGTTCTTATAAAAAAAAAAATCAGTATAAAAATAATAAAATTTCTTTTATAAGTTAAAACAATTTATTTTTTAAAATTTTAAAGAAGTTAAATGAGAGTGTTTCTCATAACTTCTAAAGAAAAGTATAAATTATTTTTAACTTAAAAGAGAAATTTTATTCATTTTTTATACTGATTTTTTTTTTTTGTAAATACTTCTTTAGAAATTTAGATCTAAATAACTTGAGTAATGAGTAGCCAAAGACTTGTACAATATAAGGAGTTTGTGAACAATCTTTGCCCTTGACATCAATTTTGTTATCCTACCATGATACGTCCATGCATGTACTAATACTATCGGTTACTCTTTTATAATTTGTATGCCTAAATTATTAGCCTTTTTGCGCGATATTCCCATCAATGGTGTGAAATCTGTCAGATACAATTGCATCACTGAATGGTACATGATGCACCCGCTATTAGTCATTGTGCCACTTGAGCCCCATCAATTATTACCCACTTTCTCAGTCCTTGACTTATAATTCTACTTGCAAAGTTTGGTTTGAATTTTGAATCATCAGAAGCATTTTAACATACAATCCTGATCCACTTGAAGCTAATGAAGGAGAGTCTAACATAACTACGGCTTAAGCAGTGGCAGAGGTTAAAGAAAAAATTGGAGAAAACTGAAATTTTGTTTTCTTCAAATGGACAGTGAAAAAATGCCATGACTTTCCTCTTCCTCTTAATGAGAAATTAAACGAATTGAAGGGTCCTAAAGGGCATATTGTTGTGTATTTAGTACAAAATTTGATCTTTTTCTTTTTCCTGGTCTTAAAATTGTGTAGAAAAAAGAAATTGAACCAGCAAATGTGGCACTGGGTTATAATTGCACTTTTAACAAGCCCAGTAATGTTTCAAGTAAAATACAATTAACAAATACACATGTTGAATTCTTTTTTATATTTCTGAACTTCAAGTCGAGTAAAGTTATTATATTTAACAGAACTTGTTCTCCAAATATTTAATATAAATATATTTACTGATACTTGAACTTGATTACACGTTAAACATGAACAATTTCTATCAATTGATCCACGTATTCAATAATTTTATAAGATTATTATTGCAGTTAAAAGAAAGGATTATCAAATATTAGAGTAAGTTAATTCTTTTGATAGCCCTTCCCTCTCCTTTTGACGAGCCACCCACAATAAAAATTAACCACTGGGTTAAATACTATCTATCAGAAATCATGAAATTATGGACCATTATATGAATGGGGCTTATGGGGTTTTAACCAGTGCAAGTGCTTCTTGGAAATTGGAAAGAGGGATGATGTTTCTATATTTTTTGGAGGTGACATTTTTAAGTTTTTTTTTTTAATTTTATTTTAAGGGAGATTTTTAATATGCATGTATATAAAATACAAATAACTACATATAATATTAATTTTGAATTGTTTGAACGATGGAACTGAATCGTAAACAAGAACAAAGTGACGAAGGTGCTTTTTATTACAACTTGCATATAAAAAGGCAAAGGTTTGGAAAAAGATGGTGGTTAGTCATGTCAAATCTGTAGCAAGGGTGGTTGGATTGGAGAACCATTAGCCTTATAACGTCATGCATTCTTCATTTGGCTTTGCAAATTGAAGGGATAGCCAAAAACAAGGATCACGTTAAAATCCTCAATTACTTTAGAATTTATGAATAAATGAACATAGCTTGCAAAAGTGAAGTACAACTTTTTTGAATGCTATATTTTTTCTTCAAGAAATTTAAAAATTGTTCATGTGATCATCATCTAAACTTCTTAATTTCGTGGAAAATGCTTATTAATTCTTCGGAATTGAAAGGAAATATTATAATTGTTGTTTTTTAATTCAAATCTAAGTTTCAGCTTGATATTTTAACTTTGTTTTATTCAATTCATTCTCTAAATTTTATTCAAGTTAATTTCAGTTTATCCTTTTTAACTTTTTTAATTTAATTAAGTCTTTTAAATTATTTTTTTAGTCTTAAATTTTCTTTGAATTTTATTTCATCTTCCAGTTAATTCAGTGAATGTTTTGGCATTTGATGTATCTAAAATAAATAAAGGTCATGAAATTTAGCTAATTTTAAAAAAGATTTTATGATAGTTGTTAGGCATTTAAAATAGAAAACAAAATAAGAATTCATGGTTGATTAGGAATAATTTGCAAGTAATTAAGAATATTTTTAGTGACAGTTTAAGAAGTTTAGATGATGATCACTTGATAACAAAGTGTAGAATAAAAAAATAATTCAAATGTTATAATTTAATAAATGTTAATTAACATGGAAGATGGAGTAATGATAGAGGAAAATTGAAAAAAAAAATATTGAATAAAAAAATTGAAATATCAAACTAAAAAGTTTGAATCAAATTTAGAGGATTGAATCAAATAAACAAATTAAAGAACCAAATTAAACCTAATTTAGCTTTAAAAGACAAAAATAATAATGTGGTTGGATTTAAAAATTAACAAATTCAAACTGGGAGCTACCTGGCTGCAACTAAGATGTCCAATATCGAATCATTCTTAAAAGAAAGGAAATTATGTGGTTCTATTTTGTCATTTTGTTTATGCATCTGTGCAAACTTGTCTGTAGAGTGATTACTTGCATGACTTTGCATTATGTTCACAAAATATTTAAGCGCATATACTTAATCATATCCTTGAAAAGTATTCAAGATTTGTCCAAAACAATTAAAAAAACTCATGTTTCAGCGTATGATATTCATAATGCAAGGTTTTGTCGAAAGTGGCACATATGTGGTCAAAATAAACTTATAAAAGAAGAAAAGCTTACATGAGTGTTGAAGATTTGTATCTTTAATCAAGTGCACACTATTGGTTATATTTCAATTAGTGCTGCTTTCTATGTATCAATGATGCACTTAATTAGCTTAAAGATTCTCCGTCCAAGAAAAAGTTGTGGGCGCGTTTCTGTGCAATGAATGAGACAGAAAGTGAGAGGGAAATAGCACACAGATTAACCATTAGAACGCTTTTTCTTCACAAGATTAATCTAATCATGCATAAGTGGTAATTAGTTAGTATGAAATTCTATTTTAAATAAATTTCTGTGTATAATTTCTTATTTGAAAAGTAAATATTTAATCTATAAACATTATATATACAAGAAACATATCAAACCAAATGAAAAATATTTTTACGTGAGAATCAATCATTAACTTTTATCATAGAACATAAAAGTCATACAATAATTTTAAAATGACGCACAACATTTTAAAGTGAATATGTAACTTTTAGAAAAAAAAGCAATATTAATCATTCATAAATAATTATGCAGGTCAAATATTTATTATTATTATTACATTTAAAAAATATTTTCATTATATACATCTATAAGCATTTTTTTTTTATGTTTGTTATAATAGTCACTTACTGTGAAAGAAAATACTCTAATAAATAAATGGTTTCGACAAAATCATTGTAATAACAATTTAATTAGTTGTTTTATGTCAATTATGGTGGATCCACAACACTTTGTGTTATTGGGCATCTATAATAAGCTCACAACCTACTCTTTTGGGTGGGGTGAGGCCAAGAAGCTTAGGGGACAACACTTTCTTGTTTTGAAAGAAATGCAAACATGTGGTCAATGAATTTCCTTACCAACAGAGAATCCCAAAACCTTAGAAATAAATCCATGAATGGATCTGATTAAGAGAAATTAAAGATTTCTTTGGGAAATGCTTAGGTTGTCTCCATAAATGGGATCAACAATTTGAACCAATAGGAGAACAGTGAAAGGTTTAAAATTTTGTTTAATGGGTAGGTTCCGTACATATAGGATCACAAAGACTATGATGCTTTCCTTGGACCATGTACAACCAACCCTACATGACCAAATCAGCTTTGTTAAGAATATATTTGCTGTCTAATCACTCTTGAATCTCTCTTTGTGCCATATATTATTTTAATTAAATAGTTAATAATCTACCTAGAAGGAATCTTCCTCTTCCTAAAGAATTATCTCAAATATTATCACGGATTAACAATTTCCTTTTGTGCAATTGGAATAAGACTTGGAAATACGTGACACTTGAATTAGCATGCAGAGTCAGCACCGTACATGAAGGTCAAACCAATTAAACTTGGCCATTTTTAGTGTATGAACAGTGATACACAGTTAAAATAAATTTTAAAAAAATAGAAGAAAAGAAAGTAGATCATACAACATTCTGATACCTAAAATTGAGTGCCACGTGATTCAACTAATTTTAAATTTAATCCAAACCCATTAGTGTTGAAAGACATACACGTAAACCTTCCGAGTAAAAAACAAGAAGGGAAAAGAAAAGGAAAAGAGACCTTCACCAGTAGTCACATAGGATACCTTATCGGATGTGATTGAAAGTAACACCGTCTTTTGGGTGCAGTTATATCTATAAATCAAAATGAATTTATGTCTCACACTAATAGTGGGTTATAGCAATTTTTTATTTTTATTTTTTACTAATTTCATTAATTATTTCCTTGTCTGCAAGAACAAATTACAAGATCTCCATGCAGTTCGGAAAGTTATACAAAGAAGATCATAACAACTTGCTGGCATAAACTTTATGTTGCCCTTGTTGGTGTGAATCACTTTAAGCATGTGCTACACTTTTAAACTTGGAGATTCCTATTATGGTCTTTCACTAAAGGAGCTAGAAGAGTAGGTAGATCTACTGATGCACTATATCTTTGTGCACCTTATTCTTACCTTTGAAGAACCATTCATTGCACAATATTTTGCTTTGAATACAATACCAGTAACAGTATCATCCACATACATATATGCCTTGCTACTTTTCAAATTTAAGTAAAGTGCCTGTTTTCTTCTAAGTTGACATTCCATTATACACATGGCTTGAAATCCATTATTCTAAAGCAACATAGAAAAACCAACCAAGACCCAACATTAGGGACTTGTTTGCCTCGCCTTTCAGGTAGTTTTTATTTGTAAAAGAAACAAATGTCTGTACCTTCCTTCAAGTTCATATTCCAAGACCTAACCAATATTCTAACATAGGATATTCACATAGAACTTGGGAAAAAACTCAAACACTGTACTTATTGAAATGAACACACGATTCTGCTTCTACCCATTAATAATTCACTACAACAAAGCGTTAATGCATGGGACTTAGTGTTGTGAGGACTGTTGCATTTGGAAAATAATGTTCTGTGTCTGAGGTGCCAAGTAAGACGACTCATGAAGAGCACTCTTGTGCATATTTTGTCCCTGCATTTTAACCCCATAGGAGTTAGCACCATAAGGAGACATGAAAACTCTTTCATGTGAAGGATTGAGGGTCATAGCTACTCCTGTGTTTGACTCATTATTCCAATGAAAATGTGTAGTGGCAGTCGAATTTGGGTGCTGCTGTGAGAGCATTTGTGGTGAAGTGGATCTATTGGTGTCTTCTGAAGAAGTTGTGCTGGTTTCTGCAAGATTCACTGTTGTTATGTCATGGATACTAGCCCTTCTCTTGTCTTTGCCTCCTGAAAGTTGTCTTATGAAGTATTTCTGAGCATGGCTAGCCACTTGAGTTGGAGTTCTAGTAATAACAAAATTGCGTGAAATATTTCTCCAATCACCTTTTCCATACTTCTTCAAACCCAGTAGAAACAATCTGCAAGGAATATCAAAGGGAATTTTAAACTCCAAAACTAAAAACAAAGAATAAATTGTTTTGACCTACAATAACTCCCTATAGCTACCTCATGAAAAGCCAAAAGACCTTAACACTTAATACCGATAGGAAATATCCAACCCTTTAATATCTTACACACAACTATTGTCCCTACACTTGTAGGCCTAATTAACTTTAAATTCCATCCACCAACTCTAGCTTTTCACTCAATCACCGTGTTTTTAAACTGATATACTTTCCCAACTGGTCCTCATACCATATATTAAAATCCCCATATATTGTTAGATATCAACAATAATATGTTTCACAACATAACAATAAATGCAAAAGGTAAAAATTTACTTATGTTCCTCTTCAGTCCATGGCACTCCTTTCTTCCTTTCCTGTTCAGGAGGTCTAACTGAGGAAGATCTCTTTCCACTTCCTTTGAATCCATCGTAACCAGGAGTGTTGACCCAGTCCAAGGTGAAGGGTGAGGTAGCAGTACTATATCCAGGAACCGGGATCAACCCAGCTTCTATATTGCTAACATCTACCTCTAACTTCTTATACTGTCTGATAACGTCAACTTCTGTCTTCCCTGGAATCATTTCAGCGACTTTGTGCCACCGATCGGGTGTGTCCTTATCATGCACTGCAAGAGCATTTTCAAACAGTTTGTTCTCTTCGTGGGTCCATTTTGTGCACCTGTTATCTTCCACAATCCAATTGGAGTTGGAGTTGGAGTTGGAAGAAGTACAAGGTGCAGGAGAGAGGGTTACCATTTCCCACTTCATCTAATCAAATTTGCTAGAAAAAACTATTGCCTCATACAATAGGAAAGATTGAAACTTGATGGGTGGAAACGGAAAAGGATAAAGCAGAGAAAAATGAGAGCAGAGATGAAGGTTTTACTTTTACCCAAAAAATATGACGGATAGATCCTCAAGCATTTTGAAAAAGAATCAGAATACCTTTTTCTATGAGTAGGAGACTCCTCAGGAATCTAGAATAGACCCACTTGATCAGAAAAAAATCACAGAGAATGCTCCAAATTGATGATGAATGAAGACTATTATCTATTACCCAATTGGTCTAAATTCTTAAAAGATAACTCTTAAACCACTTGTAAGATCTAAACCCAATGAACTTCCCTCTCAGATACTAGGACAGAAAAACAATAACCCAGAAAAAAAAAAGTGGAACTTTTAGTTATGCTTCTTCTGCAGCTTGAACTTAAGCTTAACCCAATTGGGAAAACAAAGAGAGAAGCCAAATAATGAATGTAAAAACCAAATTAGGAAATAGCAGAAAAGTCAACAGTTCATGAGCAACTAATGGTAAAGAAGGGGAAAAAAAGAGTTCTTTCTCCCTTTTCCCTGTCTATGCAACAAGGAAAAGGAAAAGAAAAAGAGAAGAAATAATAATAATAATAATAAAAAATAAACCAACTCGGCTTAAAAAAATGATAGGATCCCAAATAGGAAAGAGCTTCTATGCAAGCTGAAAAGCAAGTGACCAAGCTTCAAGAAATGAATCTAAACAAACTTTGCCAAGTTTTTCTAACAGAGAGGAACCCCCAAGAATAAAAGGAAGTGATGAAGTTGGTGTTGTTGAGCTGTGATTGGATATAATGTGATTGTGGGTACTACTTGCAACTATAGCAAGAAAGTTCCCTCTTATTATATAATACACACTCTCGGTTCTGTGCATATTTCAGGAAATTGATAATTAAAATATGACTTTCTTCATGGACTTGCAATGGTTTATTTATTCATTAATTTGATCACTTTTAAATTTTTCTTCCTCTTTTGGTTGGAATTGTGAAAAAAAAATGGGGATTGGCAGCTCATCATAAATGATGGAAGAGCCACCTGCTCCGCACTTTTCAATGAGATTCATCAAAGGGCAATTCTTAATTTCTCATAGCATGTTTATACTAAGCCAAACTCTTAATTTATTTTTAAAAGTTAAATTGAACTTTTAACTTAGTGTTTCTGTCATGCACGACACTTTTAACAGAAGATTTAGAATAGAAAGTAGTATTGAATTAAAACAACTTATTTTATATTTTTTATCTTTTGGTTTCTTTAACAAATATCCTTATCCATTCAACAATAAGAGCTTTTCTAGAGCCATGGGCGGTTTAATTTTAGAGCTTTCAAAACGAAATTTCTTTTTTTTTTTTTTCATGGATTCTTACTTAACATAATGTTATTTTCACCATTATTTAAAATATATAAGGTTAAAGGTTATACCAATTAGGACATATTCAAATTGGTCAAGTGAAATGGAATTTTTATAGTGTTAATATTAACGGGCTAAATTGCAAAGAAACATTCCCCTCAAACACCACCAACCTTAATATAACCTTTTTTGTTTCTCAAATAGTGTGATAAAAGAACATTTAATTATAAGTAGATTTTAAAAATTAAAAATAAAAAATGAAGGGACATATTGGGGAACCCAAGGTAGCCGCCAGAGCAACGGTTGAGATGTAGGGGTGGTAAATGACACAGAAGAGCAAGTTGATGCAGTGGGTCCCGGATACGGTTACAACATAACTGACGTCGTTTTCTTATTGGGTGTCTTCCCAAATAATTGTAGTATTTTTAGGATCTCAAGGACATGGGCCCCACCCCTCTAAGATTCTTACACGTTTTTTTCTTTGGTTGGTTCTTCACTCTCTGTGGTCCCAACCAACCAATCACCTTTTTTCACACTAACCGGCTCAGGTTTTCATCCCAGATTCTCTCTACTTTGTTTTTTTTAGCAATTTTTATATACTAATACTATTTTTTTTTACCACTGGATCTGTACATGTTTTATTTATATTTAAAATATGCATTAAAAATAAAAATTAAGGTTGTATAATATTTATTTTTTGTGGTTCGATCATAAAAGTGATAAAACTAATTCAATATTATTATCTTCATTTGTTTTATCGGTCTCACGTATTAAAAACAATTTGTTACTTTAGAATACGTAATTATCAAATAACGTTCACTTTGATAATGTTCTCATATACTTGGAAAAAAACTTTAATATTTATAGTTCAGGATAAACAATTAACAATGGTATATTTTGATTGAAAAATTATTTTTACCATTCAAATATAAAAAAATATTATTATTATTATTATTATTATTATTAAGGTTTAGTTATATTTTCATTCTTTTAATTTAAAATTTGTATAATTTTAGCTTTGTTTTTATATTTATTAGGAAACACAGTCTCACAAACACTTGTTAAGAAACACAGGCGAAAAATGTAACGAAAAGAGGGGCAAAAATGTTCCACCCATAATTTTTCCTTTTGCTAAAACTTATAAAAAAAGGAAAAATTATTTATTCAATGGCTAGAAGTTAGTAATCGTAAAATAATAATTTTATTGAATAAATATTGATTATGAATTATTATGATTTAATTTAGATAAATTTTAGATATAATTTTTAATAAAAAAATTAATATAAAAAATTTTCTACATTTATTTTAAAAAAATTATGAATTATTTTAATTATAAAAAATTTATTTATTTAGTACTTAATCTTTACTATTATAAATAAACAATAACAATTACAACATAACGATGCTTCATATCATTTACACATTCTAACTCTTTTAATTTTTTTAAAATATGTATTGATTAAAAAACCTAACAACACTTATAATCAAAAGATGCTAAATATAAGAGCATTGCAATAATTAATATTAAATACATAATAAAAGATTAAGTATGCATGTTTAATATCAAATATAACTCAGCAATCATTTAAATGTTAAATACAACAAAATTAAAATTAATTTCTCATTTTTTTTATAGAATAAACCTAACTACAAGAAAAATAAAATTCTTTTCTTTTTTTCTTTTCCTTTTACATTAGTATAAGCCTATATGAAAGTAATTTTAATAAGTTTAAATATAATGAAGAAATGAATTAAATATAGTAAACAAATATGAAAATAAGGTATATAATAAAAAGAGATATGGTCAAACAAATAAAAATGAATAGAAACTTTACATGAAAAAAAAACAAAAATTCATTTTACATAAGTATGAAACTTCATAAAAGGAAAAAAAAAAAAAAAACATCACAAGAAAAAGAAAAACTACATGTAAAAAAAGAGTGACCTAAGAGTATTCACAAGTTTTGTTGACATGATAAACTCGACCAACTTAACTTAAATCAATTAAAAGTTAATAGGTTGATTCCAGTAGATAAGTTAATTTAGGTTAAAATATTAGAACAGAATGAAGTATAAGTTGAGTTACAAGTTTATAATGTTAAAACTCAATCCAACCTAATAAACCTAATGACCTATCACACACGTGTCTTTTTTCTATTAACTTCACCATTTTGATTTAATTTTTCTTAATTTGTTTAGTAAATATTTAAAGATTAACAAGTGATTTAATCTTTAAATTTTAAATGTTGTTTATTGTTTTAAGTTTAAAATGAATATTAAACTTTATACTTTATAATAAAAAGTTGTCAAAGTATGTTGCTTTTTACTTTGTATTGCTTTAATATCTTATTTTAGATAAATATTAAATTATTAATATTATATTATATTTTAAAATAAATAATTTATCATTTAATTTTAATATATTTATTATTTGAGATATTAGAATTGAGTCCTTAATTATACATAAAATTTTTAATTTTTCATATAATGTAAGTGTTAACTTAACTAACCAACCAAACCCATTTGTGGTCCAACCGATTTAGATTGAATGAAGAATTTTTTATTTTCATTCTTTTAGGTAAAACTTATCTAATCCAATCCATAAAATTTTGATAAAATCTGTGTCATTTTTTAGATCAAAACTCATCTAATTCAACCTATGAAATCCTGCAAACCTCTAAAAATACTGTACCCTTTATATATGTCGGGCAAAAGGTAGCTCTCCTCAAGTTTGTCAAAATTTCAAAGGTTTATTTTTTTAAAAAATAGTTTTCTATTTTTAAAAATAAAATATAATACAATTTAAAATTATTTTAAAGATATTCTTGCGCTTAGAAGTGGGTTCCAAAAATGCTACTTCTTTTGTATTACTAAGGTAATCATGTTACTAATATTTTAGTTGGTGTGAGTAGAAAATTGTTAATATTACATATTATATTTATTGAATGAATCTCTCACCGTTACCTTTTTTTAAGAGATACTCCCTATGTAATTTTTAATTAATAAATAAATATAATCCATATTTAAGAATGTATTTATTAATATAACTTTTTTTTTATAAAAAGTAAACTATTTATATAAATATCATAATTTTACATTTAGTGTATTATATTATGTTATATTAATAATTAATTATATTAATATAAATATATTAAGAAAACATAATTTAAATATGGTGTTTGATAATTGAAAATACGATGTTTTCTGCATATTTACTTACATATGGATTTCAAAAAATGCTAAGAGACCTTTGTATGATTAGTGGCAATAACATAATACTCAAGCTAAAGTTGTAGATATTTTGAACTCCTCAAAAAATGTTAATGGCGATTTTTGGCTTAAAAATCTATACATATAGTTATCATATCATCATTAACTTCTCTAAATGAAAGTTCTCTCAGTTTAGATTTCTGAAAAATTGTCAATGGCAACCTTTGATCATGTTAAGTTTCTTCATATATGTCAACCAGGCAACATCAATGAACAAGTTTTTTGATACCCTAAAAATCACTAATGACAACTTCTGCTCTATTTATTAGAGCTACACATATGCTAGGAAGTCATGCACTAAAAAGGAAGCTATTTAAGTGAGAAGAATTACAAATAGAAAGAAGTTTAGGGAAGAAGGAGGCATAAGAAAGAGATAATAGAGTAGAAAAAGATATAAAATTAAAAATTTTATTAGAAGAAGTTTAATTTTTTTTAAAAATAGTTAGAGATTTAATCATAAATTTAAGAAAATATATCTCTAAAAAATTCAAAAGTTAAATGTAAGTTATTTTTTATTATATTTTTATGTTAAATTTAATTTGTTTAATTTTTATAAAATATAAATTGTTTTTATTATATAATAATATAGAACTATTTATTAATAATGGTTAATTCAATACTAAATATAATGTAAATATTAATAATGTAAATTTTTTAAAATAACACAAATGAATGAAACTAAAGAATTAACAAATACTTTAAATGTCTTCACTTTAGATTTATTATTAATAAAAATTACAGTACGTATAGTTTCAGTAGTTAAAAATTTACAATGATGATTTTTTCTTTTAAAAAATATTAATGACAATTTTATATTGTATATAATTTTTTTAATAATTTAATAGAGTCAAATTGACTGTCAATTTTTTTTTCCTTTTTAAAAGTTTTCAAACACAATTTTTTATAATGATTTATTTATTTTTTAAAAATAAGATGATACATTAAAAAAATTAATAAATCTGATTAATTTAATTTTTTATTAATTTAATTATTTTATAGACAATACTAAATTAAATGAATATACACTTTTTTGAACAGATGGTGGAAGATTATGTTGATAGTTTCTTTAATCATAATCAACTTTTAAACTTGATCTTTAATATAAAGAACAAGATTATTAATATAGAATTACTTCATTTTATTTCAAATAAACAAAACAATCGTTAACAACTCTTGCCT